CAGACACCGATCACCCAGATCACCACCGTGACCACCCAGACACTGATCACCCAGATAAATAAAAACAGAGCAGGCTTTTTTGGGATACCGAGGTCCGTGTAGCTCCAGTTCTCGTGTGCGTGTATCCCCCGTGGATACGTCCTGTTTTCTCTCGTGCTCTTCTTAAAGTGCTCACAGAGAGACCTGATCGGGTTTGTCTGAAGATGAAAACCGGTTATGATGGGATCTGTCCGGGTCGCGTGGGTGAGGGGAAAGATACTCCGCCTGATGACTACAGTACTGAGATTTATGGAAGCCCGTTTCCGCCAGGGAGTACAAAAAAAACGCGCTATGGTATCTCGCAATTGCGACATGTAAAGTGTAAAGTAAAGTTGTAATTCTGAATTGTTGAGCCGCAGTTCTGAGTTTGGAAGTCGCAATTGCGAGATACCATAGCGAGTGTTGTTTTTAAGTCCCTGGCGGAAACGGGCTTCCGCCGAGCTCTCCTCACTAACCTGACTGACAGCAGGAAGACCCGCCCCGTTACAGCCGCTTATCAGGTACAAGCGCCCACCTGTTATTTCATTAATACGCGGCAGTATCGTTTACTTTCTGCTTGTCTCCACTTTCTTTAAGTTTCCATTTCTCTGGTTTACTCTTTTATAACACACGGCATGCTTATTTCGTCGGGTGACGAAAAGTCACAAATACTGTTACTTATGCAGATATACATGTCGCATTTTCGGTACTCCGAAATTAGAAACAAACGCCAAAAACAAATTGAGCAATCAGCAGGAAGTCACCAGAGCCAGTTCTACACGTGTGGGTGACAGAATTCTGTCTAAATTGCGCGGAATTCCTCCCCTGAGGTCAGATACACACGGGAAAGTGTCCAGGCGGCTTCACGGAGTCCCGCCTCAGACTGGAAGCAGATTCTAATGAGACGCCGAGGACAATCCGGGTCTCTGTGTGTAACTGATTGTGTTGATGGAGCGGTAGTGTGACCAGGTGTGTGGTAGCAGCTCCTGCCAGTATAAAAACCAAGTCACCGCGTTCTTACTTTATGCTCTCTGGCTTCAACACAGCCTGGTGGTTTACTGGTCTTACTCCTGTAGCGGCTCAGCGGGACACAGCCAGTTACCGAGGGAAGTTAATTTAGCGATGCGCTCGTTTCTCTTCGTGCTGTGCCTGTGCGCAGGGGCCGGGCTCCCCGCACTGATCTCCGCCGGGCCGGCTGGCTGGGACTCCGGGGAATTAGCGCTCCAGGCCGACTTCCCGGCTCCCGAAGA